GGGTCTGGGTTTCTGGGTCGGTGTCCCTAAGCTTGACCCTCTACTGTGATTATAATAATCGCTGATATTATTATTAATTATTATTAGTTAATATTATACTAATTGTAATTCATATTAAATAACAGTTATATAGTGCTTACTACATGCCAGGCATTGTGCAAAGCACCTTACAACTATCGCCCCCTTAGAGCTGAGTGTGTTGACAGAAGGAAGAAACAAGTGACCTTTGGGAAAAAACCTCTCTGTCAGAGCAGGGCGGCTCTGGCAAAGTTAGAGACCAAGGTGGCTTCCCCTTTGTGTTTTTGGTTACTGGGTGCATGTTGCCAGCTACTGCAAAATAATGAGAAATTAAAAAAATTAATATATAATAATAAAAATATAGAAAGAAAGAAGAAAAGAAAAAATAAATAAGAAAATAAGAAAAACATGGAAATAAAACATGCTTTCAGATTCTGGTTCTGTCATTTAATACCTATATAACCTTAGGTAAGCCACTTCTATGCTCTAGGCCTCAGTTTCCTCCTCTGTAAAATGAGACGGTTGGTCTAGATTGGAACATCCCTAAGCTTTGTTCTACTTCTAAAACCTGTGATTCTGTGAGCCCTGGGAAAGTCTGGCATGTCAGGATGAAAGTTGGCTGAGGTCTTAAAAATAGAAAATGTCCATGAGCTGAGCAATCCTCTCTGGGTCCCAAGGTCCAAAGCAGCTGCATCTCTGACAACATCTTCTGAGCCCTTCCCTGTTCTCTTCCTAGTTCTTGTGACTAGAAAGGTCCGGTGGTCACTGGACCCTGACATCCAGGTCATCATAGCTAGATACTTCAAGAAAAGCATTGCATGAAGAGCCCAGAGCTGAAAACTCCTCCGCCCAGCTGTCTTCCTTAATTTTTGATTGCTTCTCATTTTTTAAAACATGATTGGTTGACAGAGACCAGCATAAAAACCACAGTTCCTTCATGGAAGCAGGCCAGGATCGTGGGAAGGGAAGATAAGGGAGAACAGAAGGACAGCTTTAAGAAAGTGAGCAGTGAGAGGGAAACATGAGGATGCTTTATTAGCTGAGCATAAAAGGAGAGACCCATGGAGCTGCTGAGCCAGCAACCCCCGGTGCCCAGGGACTGAGCAGATCCAGCTGGGGTTCAAACATGCCTTGGGGGCGTCTGACTCGTGTTCTGCAGAGATGTAGCTTTTCTTTCCCCATCTTCCTCTTTTCTCCCTTTCCCTCCTCCCTTTTCAGAACGTAGGACTTTGTCATGAATGGCCAATGTCACTCATGAGGTGGGGTCTGCAGAATGGAGGCGGGCAGGGGGCAGGAAGAGAAGGAGACAGCAAAAAGGGATGTGGCCTGAGGAGTCACAAAGGACTGGGAGACGGATGGTGAGGAGGAGATGCCCAGACAGGCTGGCTCAGGGGCCCGGGATCGTAAAGAAATCAAGCAGGGACCTAATGAGACATGGTGGCTGTTCTTTCCTGTTTGACTTCATTTCACGGGGAAAGAATCATCTTTGGCAGTTGTTAGGCACTTTGAACCTTTCCAAAACATTTTCATAACATTTAGACTCCTAGAATGTCAAAACTGGAAAGAAATTTTAGAATATAAAAGGTTAGAGTTCAGAGGTGCCTTAGAACCTAGAACCTCAAATGTCAAAGCTAGAGGTACCTTAGAACCTAGAGTGTCAGTAAGAAGTGTCCTTTAGAACCTAGAATGTCAGAGCTAGAAATACTCTTAGAACCTATGACCTAGAATGGCAGATCTATGAGGGACCTTAGAACATAAAATGTCAGAAGTGGAAGGTGCCTCAAAACCTAGAACATAGAATGTCAGAACTGGAAATGACCTTAGAACCTAGAATATCAGAGCTGAAAACTGCCCTAGAACCTAGGATGATAGAACTGGAAGTGCCCTTAAATGTCAGAGCTAAGAGGTGCCTTAGAACCTAGAAAGCCAGAGCTAGAAATGCCTTTAGAACTTAGAACCTAGAATTCAGAAATAGAAATGCCCTTAAAACCTAGAATGGCAGATCTGAGAGGGACCTTAAAGCATAAAATTCCAGAACAGGGAGGTGCCTTAGAACCTAGAGTCTAGAATATCAGAACTGGAAATATCTTTAGAACATTGACTATCAGAGCTAGAAATTCCTTTAAAAGATAGCACATAGAACATCAGAGCTGGAAATGCCCTTAAAACATAGAAGATAGAATATCAGAGCTAGAAATACCCATAGAAGCTAGAATGCCACTGGGAGAACATGCCTTAGAACCTAGAATATCAGTGCTGGGAGGTGCCTTAGAACCTGGAGCCTAGAATAGCAGATCTGAGAGGGACCTAAGAACATAAAATACCAAAACTGGGAGGTGCCTTAGATCCTAGAATTTAGAACATCAGAACTGAAAACGCCCATGAAACATAGAAGATCAGAGCTAGAAATGCTCTTAGAACACAGAACATAGAATGTTAAAGCAGAAAATGCCTGTAGAACATAGAACACTTGAACTGGGAGGTGCCTTAAAACCTAGAACCTAGAATGGCAGATCTGAGAGGGACCTCAGAACATAAGATGTTGGAAGCTAGAAGAGACTTTTAAATAGAATGTCAGTATCAGGTGTCCAATCATGACTTTAGAGGTCAGATGGTCCAGTATGCCTCTTGTCAGACAGGTGGAAGTTTATGGGTATAAAATTCAACATGCATTTCCAGACGTGCCAATGCATTGATATGTTTTGCTCAAATCTATTTATTTAGGACAAGGTAGAAATCAATGTTTGGGGTGGGGGGAAGCAATGGGTAATAACAGTGATATAAAAGAAAAAAGCAGCAACAAAGTGCTAAACAAAAAAAGGAAGGAAGGAAGGAAGGCAGGAAGGCAGGCAGGCCAGAATGTCAGAGCTTGAAGGGACCTTTGAGATCATATGATATAATCTACCCCCCCCACCACCCCCTGCCCATTTTATAGATGATGTCAATGAGATCCAGAAAGAAGGGAAGTGATTTGCCCAAGGTCACCCAGATTGCAGATGGTGGAACCCACTATCCATAGGCCCTCTCTCAATTCTGTCTGGCTTCTCTGCAGCACTGACCATTGTTGGACACCCTCTTATCTTTTGGCTTCCATGATGCTGCCTTTCTCTTGGTTTACCTCCTATCTCTCTGAGCACTCCTTCTCAGTCCCCTTTGCAGGATCATTACACGTCATGTCCTCTGACTTTGGCCCACCCAAAGGCTCTGCCCTGAACTCTTGACTCCTCTCTTTCTCAGTGACCTCCTCAATTTCCCTGAGTTTGATTAGCTTCTTTTTGTAGGTGACTTTTTCCTGAAATCCAGGTCAGTTAGACATCTCCATCACACCTAAATACCCATTAACAACAGTGCAGGCTACTTCAAGTTTCCTGTGACTACTTGGAAGGTTTCTTAACAGTACTGATAATGATCGTGCCTTAGGCATGCAGGATAAATATTATAATCCTCACGTGGCAGATGAAGACTCTAATGTTCAGAGACCTCAACCAAACAGTCAATCAATAGGCATTAAGCACCTACTAAGTATCACTGCGTTAAGTTTTTGGGATACAAAGACAGAAGTTAAACTGTCCCTGCCCTCAAGAAACTTACACTCTATTGGGGAAAGACAACATGTACAATATAGAAGATATTAAATATGAGATAAAAACGGGAGGGGGCTGAGGGAGATTTCACTGGCAGCTTAAGGAGTAGGGCAGGGAGGAAGGGGATGGGAAAGGTGTTGCCAAAGCAGAATTTTAACAGAAACAAGGGCTTCTCAAGAGGTAAAAGTGAGAAAGGAGTGCATTCCAAGTACGGGGGGACAGCCTATCCAGACGTGCAGGGACAGGAGATGGTGTGTCATATGTAAGAAACAGCAGGAAGGCTAAGATGAGGAATAATGTAAAATAAAGTTAGAAAGGCAGGCCAGAGCCAGCTTATGAAGAGCTTTAAAAACTCAACAGAGACATTTGCATTCGTCCTAAAGGCAATAAGGCAAAAGTGGTGTTTACTGAGTAAAGGAGTAACAAGGTCACAGCTGTAATTCAGGAAAATCTCTCTGGCAGCAGGATGGAGGATAGATAAGAGTGGGAAGAGGTTTGAGGCAGGGAGGCCAATCAGGAGATTCCTGCAATAGTCCAGGCTAACGGGACGTGAACTGTAATGGTGGTCAAGTGAGTAGAGAAAAGAGAATCAGGAAAATGTAGTTAGATAGAAATGGCAAGATTTGGTAACTGATTAGATACGAAGGGCAGAAGGAGGGAGAGTTTGTGAACCTGGGTGAGGGGAAGGTCGGGGGTTCCCTTGACAGAAATAGGGAAGGTCATGGCGGGGAATGAAAGGAAGATAATGATTTCTGCTTTTGACATGCTGACGTTGAGAGGCTTATAGCACATCCAGTTTGATGTAGCCCATGGGCAGTTGGTGATGTGGGATTAGAATTTGGGAAAGAGACCAGGGCGGGATATTTGGGAGTCACCTGAATAGGGGATGATTGTGGGAGAGGTCTTTTAAAGGAGAGAATGGGATTGAGAATACATGTAGAGGGATGGCCTGTATATTGCTTATTCACACATAGTGTTTTGTATGTTGTCTCCCTCAGACTGTGAGCTCCTTGAGGGCAAGGAATGCCTTTTAGCTTTCTTTGTGGTCCTAGCACTTAGCACGGTGTCTGGACTTGATAAATGCTAATTGACTAACTGATGAAGGAGAAAAGAGGAAGTTTACAGAAAATGATCTCTAGGAGGAGCAAGGAGATGGTGTAGGAGGCTTGGAGAAAGAAGAGAGGGTTTGATGTAAAGGAGAGGAAGTGACTTGTTCATGGTCAGATAATTACTTATTTTCAGATTCAAGATTCAAACCCAGGTCTTCTGATGCTGAATTAAGCAATCTCCCCACTCCCCTAAGTGTAAAAGGAAGATGTGATTTCTAAAACTCTTCTGGGTTTTTTATGATCTCATGAGCAGACCCACTGACCAATGCTTTTTCTCTTTTTCTTTCAGGACCCCCTGTAAGTACTGAGGTCATGGCTGAAATCCCACAAACTTGAATGTGCTGTTCTCTCTGATGGTAACAGGGCCCTGGGCTGGGGAAGAAAGAGAAGTGAAGTATGTCTGTCCAGCTAACCTCTCTATCTTGGACCTGGGAGTCACCTATAACCTCCTATTGAGAGATGGCTTTTCTCTTGACTTCGGGAGCCTGTGCTTAAGTGACAGAAAGGGAAAAAGACTGCCATTTGGGTTTTGGGGTTTTTTTACCAGGCTTGGAAACATCAGAGCCCAAGACATCTCTGTCCTTGACAAAGCAGGCTCTGAACTGAAATCCAAAGACTAGCTTGTCTCAGTAATAAGACACTTTTTCTTTGTCCTCAAAGGAGGCAATTGTAGAAAGAAGGGCATGCTAATCAATAAGAAAGGAGACATCTCTTCTCAGTGGGCTTTTCCGTGGAACACATCCCTGCCCACTCACTTAGTGAAAATGTGAATCACATTGGAAAAGTGTTGTTTTCCAAGAGAATTTATGTGGGCAGATTCTATTTGGGCCAACTGGCTTGGGCCATATTTCGGAAAGGGATGGGGGGAAGAGGATAGAGAAAGCGATGTCGGCGAGTTAAACTACAGAAGGGGCAATAAATTAGAGCCAAAACGCCTCTCTTCTTTCTCAGACCTTTCTATCAGGTCCCTTGTGGGGGAGGGGAAAGTCTTGCCAAAAGAAAGAACATAAGAAAGAGGTGAAGAAGAGTCTCTCAAAGCAGTAAGTTGATACCCAGCAATACGGTAGTGATCTTTCCTTGAGGGACAGTGTTTTTAAAGCCTAACAAAAGGCCCAAAGACCATTCAGGGGCCTGTGTAAAGTAACTTAAAAGACCAAACACATGGTGGGGTGCGTCAGATTTTTACTGAGATGGGAAGAATGACATTCTTTGAAATTGGTCCACCCCTGAGGTTATTGAAACCAACAAGAACCAGAGGTCTCTAGTGCTCAAGAGAAGGCATTCCAATATTTGTTTTGCCTCTAAATACATACCTGGGAGAAAGCCTTTCATGATTTTAATAAGGTCCTTCTTTAATATTCCATCTGTTACTCTGAGTGGTAAATTGATCCCATACTGAGAAATCTGTTCTATCCCCCTGACAGATAAATCACGTCGGGATTGGAGAGTCATTTCATCCCTTGAAATGAAAAGGCATGATTTATAATGGCATGCTTTGGATATCAGATAAAATTCCTACCATCAGTCTTCCAAAATAAACTTGGCAGTAAGGGAGCCCTGAAGGACCACCTGCTGAAAACAAGCCTTTTTGGAGGCCCCCTCCCCATCCTCTTTTTTCTCCCTGACATAACCAAAGATTGGACCATCTCCTCACCCAGATCTCACCTTCCTGGGAATTTGTTGCCCTTGGTCTCCATGACTCGTTAGGTCCTGCTGCTTTCTGAAGAAACTCAGCACGCTGCCACAGTGGGACAGATTGTACAAGGTCAGGAAGGGCTTACATTTACTGGAGAGTTCACACAGAGATTGTTGGGAGCTGTGCCCAAGAGGGGAATGAACAGGATTCCTGCATGAGAAGGGCGAATGAGCTAGGATCATTGGATTTAAAGCTCAAAGAGATCTTAAAGATGATCTGGTTTAACCTCCTCATTTTACAGAAAGACAAAGATTTGGAGATAAAGGGATTTGCCCAGGATTACACAGATTTGAATTCAGACCTTTAGTCCTTACATCCAGTACTTTTCCTACTGTCTACCCTCTGAGGTCTCTTTCAAGAGAGGCCTTGAGTGGCATAGTGAGTAGTCCCCCTATGGAAGCTGAGTGACCCTCCTGGAAGGCTGATGAGATCAGTCCCAGGGCAGGTAGAACTGCCTCAGACCAGAGCTTACTCTTTGGCCTTGAAGGACAGCAGACGCCTGACCTTCAAGGTGGGTAGAAACAGCAGCCAGTCTCGGCTCCCCATTGTCTGTCCCACAAAGAACCCTCCCTGCTGCCACTCTTTAGAAATGTCATCTGTGTTTCCTCCCAAGCTATCAGGGCTGTGTTCAGGAATAATATATAATGAAATAGGTCCAGGGAGCATAAGAATAAAAATGACAGGATTGTAGGGCAAGGGCACTTGTAGCTGGGGCCCCCAAAAGCAATGAAATTGGAGTTCTAGAGGACCTGGATTTGAAATTTGATGCTGACACTTACGATGTGAAATCAACAAGTCACTTCCCCACTTTGGCTTCAGTTTCCCTCCTTTGTAAAATGAGGGTGCCGAACCCAATGTCCTCCACGGTCGCTTCCTGCTCAAGATCTGTGCCCCAAGATAATGGTTACCATCTCAGCACCCTCTACAGAGGGGCAGGTCTGGGGAAAGATAATTCACACCCTTCAAACTCCTCTTCCAGGGTGGCAGGTATGGGGGAGCAGGGATAACAAGACTGACTGTGTCATGGCTTAGTAATAGTCATTGGCATTAGCACAACCCTCCCAGGGCTTCTCACTTAAGCCACACGATCACTCCATTTGACAAACAAGGAAACCAAAGTTCAGAGAAGGTGCATGATTTGTCTGACACAGCACAGCTAATGATTGTCTGAGCCAGCACTTGAACCCAGGTCTATCCAGGTCTTCATCTAGGACACTTCCCATTGTGCCGCACTGCCCCCTCTGTCCTTAGGAGATGCAGGATTGTGTGTTCCACTTCCCTGGCTTTAATGAGGTCTTTTTCTCTCTTTTGTTGTTTTTTTGCCCTTTTTTTCCAGGGTCCTGCAGGAAGACCTGGACTTCCGGTAAATAGTTCTATTTCTCTTTTCTTGGCCTCTCTCTTTTCCTTCATCTTCCTCCCTCATCTCTTCCTCTCCGGTTACTAGCTCACACTTGTAATCTTTCCCTACTCCACACACACTCCACTTCTTTATTTGGTTGTTCAGCTTCTCCCTGGGAGCTAGGGGGAAACATCCTTTACCACCCACCATCTCTGCTTCTGCGTCCAAATAAGAAGGGCCTTCCTGTATCCCCCTCTCATTGACAAAATCCCCTTGACTGAGGCCTGAGGCCCAAAGCTGAGTGGATACTAGCCCCCAGAGCTAGAGCATCTTTGACCATCTGGCAGCTGCTAGGAACCCTGAAGGACATAGCCCAACCCTCTCATTTTACAGATAAGGAAACTGAGGCTTAGGAAATTTAAATGATTGTCCAAGGTTACTCTCAGCCTGGCCTCAGCAAATACAGCCTTCATCCACGACCACAGTCTTTAACCCACATCCCTTGGTAACATCTGCTGAGCTTTCATACAAACAGAAGAGTATAAACAACAGAGATGGTTTCAATTACTATAAGCCTTAATTTTGGTCTTTGACCAGTACATTGCATAGAGATATATCTGATGGTCTGAGGATGGTCAACTTTTAGAATCTCCAACTTCCATTAAAGCGTAGCGCAGGTACTGCCTCCTTCACCAGGCCTTTCCTTACTCCCCCACCCCAACCTAATTATCAGGACTCTCCCCACCCCTACTAGTAATAACTTTGTATTTGTTTACTAAGTAATTAATATATAATGATATATACTAATATATTAAATATTATATAGATACATTATATAATAATACAGAAATACTATATAGTTTGTACATATTTATATTATATGTATAATTAATGTATATTTATCTGCATGCCTATTGATTTTCCCCCAAAAGATTGTAGCTCTTCGAGGGCAGGGCCTGTGACATTTCCTAGTGCTTAGTAGGCGCTTAGTAAATGTGTGTTGACTTGAATTGAATCTAATGAACAGTGAGCTGGACCCAAAATTCAAGAGGAGGGGTTAATTCCCCCTACCCTTTCTTTTGATGCCCACTAGCAAAGGATACTTGAGTTCGAATATTGGTTTTTCCCAAGTGCCAGATCTGACCACTTAATCAACAACTTAATTGAAGATCTGAACACTAAATCAACAGCTAAGTTAGTACCTTAGATGTCCTAAAAACCATGTGATTGCCTTTCTGCACCTCTGCCTCCTTTCCTACCATTTCACCCCCATAGACACAGAAGTAGAAGAGGGCTCTCACCATATGGGGTTGAGACCAATTTGCATTTTACCTTGATTCATGGGTTGTGATGACCAAGGAATCCATCACCGGGTGTCCAGAAGGCAGAGACAAGATTTGACAAGGGATTGGATGTGTGTGAGGAGAGTGAAGAGTTGAGGATGACCGCAGTGGAGTGTCTGGGAGAGCTGGGAGTATGGCAGTGCCCTGGACAGTAATAGAGAGGTTGAAAATGGGGGACAAAGACCACGAACTTTGTTTGGGATGTACTGAGTTTGAGACGCCTATGGAGTGTCCAGTTCAAGCGTCCAAGGGGCAGCTAGAGGTGAGTGACTAGCTTGACTTAGAGATTAGGGCTGATTCCTTAGCTTATCAGACTGCTTCTTAAGTTGGTAGGCAATGAGGAGCTACTGAAGGATGGGTGAGCATCTTCCAAGGCCATTGTTCTCTTTCTTGGGAGGCCCAGGGGATGAGTGCGAGCACAGAGATGAGTTTGGGAAATCAAGGAGATGGATCATAGACAGGAGCTGGAGGAGAACTCGGATGCCAGCCAGTCCAATCCTCTCATGAAGGAGGACTGAGGCTCAAAGAGATTGTGATTTGCCTAAGGTCACACAGGGAGCAAATGTCAGAGTAAGAATTTGAACCCAGGGCCTCAGACTCCAAAACCTTTAGGATTAGGGGCACCTACCCAGCATCATACTCCCCCCAGTCTAGCAGAGGACTGAGGGAAGGAACATGTCACAATCCATTCAGAGCTCAGAGGTCTGACAGCCATCTTCCCTAACTCAAAAGCAGTGTTAGATTTAGGTAGAGCTGTAACTAGGGTGGAATGTTCAAGACTGTGTCTCAGGGTGCCAATATTTAGAAGGCACTGATCCTGCCCTGGTCCTGGGTCACTCTTCTTCCCCTTCCCAAGAGGGATACTACCAGTGAGTTCCTCTCCATGGCCCTACCTTATGGAGCTGCCTCCTCCTGGGGCTTTTCCTTCCCTCGATGCCCACATCCCTGGCCCTGGATCTGAACTCCACCCCAACCAGCCTTTCTTCCTGCCCTAGGCCCAAAATTCCTACTCATAATACCTCTGGATTTAGACTCCCCAAATCTGAGGCAGAAAGATTCTGATTCTTACAAGCATTACATTATTTCCTGTCACCCCTAGTCTTCACCTTCCAAAGGTAATATAACACTGTAGTCCTTTAAAAGCTAGTGGCCGTTACAACTGTTGAAATTTAAAGAAAAAATCCCTGAGCCACTTACCTTTATAACGAAAGGCATTTGGGACCATATTTAGCACTATACGTAATGTTAGAAGCGTTATAACTAGCAGGGAAGGCTGGGAAGACTAGGGTGGGCAAGGGTTACATGCATAAAACCTACGGAGGCAGCCTCTTTTTTTTCCTCCAAAGTCCACCTTTAAAAAACATTTACGGTAAAATTCATGGAGCAGAGGCTACCATGCATAGTTTCCAACCTCCGCACCAATACATACCTAATCATAACCCATGCGCTTTATGACTAAGACTGCAAATAACATTAATTTAAAACACACACATGTGTATACAATATATATATATATATGTATATATATATACACACCATGATATGTCATTCAAAAGCCATATGCTTGACTGCGTGCAACTTATGGCAAAAAAGACATCTTTGAGCTCATCCAGGAAGGAAGAACAATTAGCAAACTCATCGATTGTGGCTCTGATTATGCTTCTGTTGTGAAGGTGATCATTTGTGAACCTCCAAGAAGACCCTGTAGGCTGATTTCAGATAATCTGAGGGTCAGAGATTCAAACCTTGAAGACATATTAAGGTCATCTAGTCCGATGCCCTGTTGATCAACTTGCCTGAAGTCACACAGGAAGGGCTAGATTTGAACCCAGGTCCCCCGAGGCAGCTGGGTGGCACAGTGTACAGAATGCTGGGCCTGGAGTCAGGAAGACCTGAGTTCGTATCTGGCTCAGACACTGACCAGCTTGGGTGACCCTGGGCAAGTCACTTCACCCTGTTTGCCTCAGTTTCCTTATCTGTAAAATGAGCCAGAGAAGGAAATGGCCAACCACTCTAGTATCTTTGCCAAGAAAACCCCAGATGAGGTCACAGAGAGCTGGAAGTGACTGAAATGACTGTACAATAGCAACACCTCTGAGTCTAAATCTAGCGCTTACTCCACAATCCCACTGACTGATCCCGGATCCCCTGCTGTGAGAATTCCAATCAATTCAACCAGCATCTATTAATGATGCTGTGTGTCTGGCACAGTGGCAGGCATGCTGCAGTCAGAAGTCAGGAAACTGACCAGGAGGAGATGATTCTAGACCTGAGTTGTGCTGCCAATTCGCTGTGTGGCATTGGCCTACACATTTCCCTTCTCTGGGCTTGGTTTCCCCATTTGTAAAATCTGGAGGACTGCACTAGCTGATGGTGACTGATGCTGACTCATCAATGAACAAGCTCTTATTAAGCACCTTCTGTGTACCAGGCTCCATGCTGGGTGCTGGGGATACAATGACCAAAGCTTAACGATCCCTGCCTCCATGGAGTTATCCAAACACCTTTAGGAGAATCATTTCCTCATGGGCACTCTTGGCTTTCAAGAAGGTAGAGTGCTTTATTAAATGCAAATGATGCATCTTGACCCTAGCAACATAGACAAGATCCCAGCAGGGGAGTTTTTCCTAGTTACTCCCCATCGCCATTTTGACATAGACATCTCCTTATGCCTGCGATCCTCCCCGTTAGTCTTGCTGCTTTTCAGGTCACATCTAACCTCTGGAAGGGGCAGCAGACTCTGAGAGCAGGCCCCAGGGCTGCCCATGACTCACTCATTTTCCAGCTGGGCCATAGAACGCAGCAATTCCTCCAGCAGACACGCTTGGTCAGATACCATCTTGTTTTCTACGTTCAATTGATTTCCACTCTTCCTGGCCAGCAGTGAATTTCAGTTCCCCACCCAAAATTTACAAGGTCTGCATTTGTGTGATGGCAAAAAAATATTTTTTTACTGAGAGGAGCGGCAAACCCTCTATAAGGAGATTTCCAGAGTGGGAAGACGTAACCCCTGGCTACCAAACAAAGACGTTTTCCCAGAACAGCTGAATCTTGTGACTTGGCTGTGACTTTCCTGTCTTTTCTAAGGGTAGGAGATAGGGGGAAATGGGTAGAATTCCATTCATCTTCCTCAAATCATGAGGCTCTGGGGCAAGACCAAACCAGAGGTAGAAGGCTTGGGTTCTGTCCCCCACCTTTGCCAAGGGGAGTCTAATGGGCTGGCTGCCTTGATGTAGAGTTCCTTTTCTGTAAAATGAGTCCAACAGACCTCACCAATAAACACCACCTAGAGCTGTTAGGTCAGTGGGATGAAGGCCTTTATGAGCACCATTGGCAAGATGGGGTGGTGGAAGGACAGCTGGGTTTGGCTGGCTCCCAGCTCTGGCCCTGGTGACTTCCCACTCTGTGACTGTGAATGAGTCCCTGGAAGCTTCTGAGATAGAGATTCACTTGAATTCAATTCCACAAACACTCCCTAAGCCAGGCACTGGGCTGGGTACCGAAGATACAGAGGCAAAAAGCCAAAGAGCTTCTGCCCTCAAAGAGCTTCCATTCCATTGGGTAATATCTGCATTATTTATCTCATAAGGTTGTTAAGGAGAAAATGCTTTGTAAATAAGAAAATGCTATTTGGACAGGAATGATTATTTTTGTGGCTGGTGTAACCCTCTGGGATTGGAAGGGACCTCATATCAGCTATTCCAACCTCCTTGTTTTTACAGAAGAAGAAACTGAGGCATAGAGAGGGAAGATGGCTGGCCAAAATTCACACAGCTCAATAATGGGAGAACCCTGACTGGCATCTAGGTCACCTGACTCTTAATTTCTTTCCACCATTCATTCAGCAAGCATTTATTAAGCACCTACTATGTTCCAAACACTGTGCTAGGTGGTGGGGATACAAATATAAAAAAAGAAATAGGCCCCACCCTCGAGGAGCTTATATTCTATTGGGAGGAAATGACGTGTCCACAGATAAGAAAAGGAAAACATGTAGATAAAGTAAAGGGAAAGTATTATATATACAGATGCAATGTCAATAAGTATTTACCATAAATATATTATTTATACTTGAACAGTTGGTTCCTGATTAGTGGGAATAATGAACTCCTTGATGTGGTAGCATTAATCGAATTCACACTGAATATTTCTATAGGGCCAGAACCAATTAAAAGGAAAACTTCAAATAGTTTGAATTTGAACATATGCTAGCCCTTCAGGGGATCCATTAGCCACACTAATCAGGACCTCGCTGTATGAAATTTAAACATATACAAATTAAATTCAAATACAAAGTTAGGGAAGGCACTAATTACTGGTGGAGTCCATCACACTATGCCTGCTTGATGATGTGGTTTATATTCCAAACACATGGGTATTTTGTATATGTACCCATGGGCACCCACACAGGAAGGTGCCCACGTTCCAATTTGTCATTAGGCAGGGTATATGTGGCTGATCAGTGAAGCCATGATGTTCTCATGCCCAGTACACTGCCAGTGTGACTTCATTCCCTTGACTGAAGCCTGACTCCATCCCCCCATCCACCTCCATCTGATTTCTTTTGCCTTGCTCCTCAGGGAGACAAAGGCGCCCTTGGGATCCCAGGACGAGTGGTGAGTTGAAATCTGCATCTTCCTGCCTGTGTTGCCACATGCTTGCTTCTTGGCCCCACCATCCAGGTCATCAGTGTGGCAGTGGGTGAATCTAGACCCTATTCTGTCTAGGGAAGGATGGAGTCAGAGATCCCATCGGCAGGGTGGAGCAGGGCTCCTGTCCTCATTAGGACTTTTTTAGGAAGTCCCTTCACATAGATGTGTCCCATTATATGGCAGCCTCCACTAGGCAGAAACCTGCCATAACCTAATTCAGAACTGAGGAACAGATTCAAGATACATTCCCAGAAGACTCACATTAATAGAATTCATCTTGGACCATATGTGAGTCAGTTCTTTCACTCAAGGCCAATGGCTGATATTGAGGTCTCCTGGAGGTCCCACCTGGAGCTGTTATCAGCCCCAGTCAAGAAGAGCAGAAGTCAAAAAGAATATATACACCCACCTTCCCCATCCCTTTGCCCAAGGTCGATGTCCATCCAGGAGAAAAAGAAGCTTCACTTTCCAGAAACTGTCTTGACAGCTAACCTTTGGGGAAACCAGCTGTTCTGCAAAGCAAGATAGACTCCAACCAGCCAGTCATGTCAGACCCCCAAATTCAACCCTCAGTCCTCAGAACGTCTGTAAAAAGGCTGAGATCTATAATATTTTGGGATGAAAACCTCAAATGGAAAATAATAATAGTTAGAGCTTACATTTATATTAGCACATTTGGGTTTACAAAGTCCAGTACATGCATTAACTCATCAGATCCTCATGGCAGCCCTGGATTCCAGGAGCATAAGCATTATTATCCCCACTTGACAGATGAAGACACTGAGTTTCTGAGATGCTAAGCTTGCTCCCAAGTCATACAGTCCATAGGTGGCAGAGCCAGGGTGCAGAGTCAAGTCTCTTGATTCCAAGCCGGGGCTCTCTCTGCTCTCTCAAGCTGCCTCTCCACTGTCTGTCCTAAGAGAGCTCCTAGCAGTTCAGTTGCTTGCTCTTGGGTGGCTCTTCTCCATGGGGAAGGAGGACTGATCATTAGAACACGTGGTGCTGTCTCTCATCTCTGAGTGTCACCTAAAAGAGCCTAGGGGAGGACCAAGGGCCATGGACTAGCCCCATCTTGTGCCCTCAGCCCCTGCCAGGGACAGAAAGTGAGAGTTGACTGGATCCCTGCCAGGAATGCCAGCATATATTAGGGATGCTTTCTTATTGTCCTGCCAGCTCTCCCCCGTGGCTACCCACTACACTTCCATGGATAATTCCACCCCCGCCAGCTGCCAGCTCTGTCCTCTGGTTTGTCATCCTCCCTGGTCCATCCATCCACACCCAGCCCCTTATCCCACACCCACACCATCACTGGAGCAGACCCAATCAAATCAACCACGTCACTAGCCTTTTCCCCTGTGATCCCCACCTCCCAGACCAGAAACAGCTACTGAGATGATTACAGCAGCCTGGAGGGGATGAGTGCAATAATCTTCAAGTAGAGGCCAGAGGACCAAGTATTGGGATTATTATAAAGGAACTACATGTTTTTAATTAAAAACAAAAAACTTTAGACACCTGCTATGTGTGATATATTTTAATTTAGTTTGAAGTAGGGTTGGAAAATTCCAGGCACATTATTTCATTGGCATAGGAAGCACCTGGTAAAGAAATATGTTCAACCAACCAATGCCGATGGGCCAGTGTCACGGCTTCTCGTCCTACAGAGGTGACTGGGGCGTTGACAGCTAAGACACCTCTTCCTGGTCCCTCCAGCAATATCTCTCATAAGCACGATTTGAACCGAGGTCCTAAATCATAGGCCAGCTCATTGTCCACCAAGCCATTCTGCCTGTCTCTGAAATGAAAAATAAAACAGCTCCTTCCCTCCCGGAGCTTACACATTGCTGGTCATGTCAGGTCTGGGGGGGAACTATCAGTTCCCTGCCATCACTTCCAATGTGAAGTTTCTAGGATTCTGAGAGAGCAAGGAGTGCCATGATTTTTGTGAACTCAGTGATGTGTCCTCCCTGCCCCCACACTACCCCAAGAACTCTAAATTTAAATGTATTGAAATATATTTTAAAAAATGGAAACCCCCTTCCCTCCCCATCACTGCCAGGAACAGGACCTAACCCTAAATCCAATGGGGAGCCAAGCAGAAGAGAAAATGGGGTGTAGGGGAAAGCTCATTGGATTTGGGGCCAGAGGAGAGGGCTCTGATGCCTGCTACATATGTAATCTTAGACCAGTTGCTGAATCCCACTAAGCCTCAATTTCCCTTCTTTGTAAAAACAGGTTTGTAGATCAATCTGCAGGGGACCTTTGGGGCTGAGTCTGACCTCATTTTACAAATGAGAAAACCAAGACTCAGAGGGAAGGCATTTGACCAAGGTCATACAACCTAGTAATCAGCATAGGACTTTTCTTCCTTACTTCATGAGAAAGTGCTTTGTGAATCCTAAGGCACTATGGAAATGAATCTGCTATTATTGTCATTATTATTATCATCATCATCATCATCATTAGCACACTGTCACAGCTGGCCAGCCTATGCTGTAGACAGTGCTTGAAGTAAGGAGCAGATGTTAACCCCCTCCCTCTTTTAGTTTATTTTCAGGGAGGCCCAAACCCATCCCACCAGTCAGCAGATGGACCTAATAGAATCCCTGCACAAACAATCCAGCTTCCTTATTTCTCTAATGGAAACACTAGCCAAATCATCCCACTTCCTCTTCCCTCTCTTACCTCAAGCCCCCAGCACTACCTTTTGCCAAGCAAAGCAGAGAAGGCATTTCCCCTCTGGTCCTTCAACGCTGGGGGCAGGAACGGGTCGTCTCACACTCTGCACTGAGAACACAAGTAGCTGGTCCCATTGTAGAAAGCCACATGGTCAGAGGGACTTAAGAGCCAGAAGGGGCCTTAGAGAGCACCTAGTTAGTCCTCCTTTTACAGGGAAGGAAACCGAGACCTGGAATAGTCAGATATGGATTCCCCGAAGACAAAGCTCAGCATATTGTAATGGAGAGAATGCTAAATTTTGAGTCAGGAAGAATGAGGTTCAAATTCCCAACTATATAACCAAAAATAACCAGCTCACCCTCTCTGAGCCTCAATTTCTTCATCTGTAAAATGGGGATGATAATAACAGCACCTGCTTCAGAGTTGTTGTGAGGGTCAGAGGGGGTGATGTATGACTTTGAGTGTTGGCTTTGCCAACCTCAAATCACTGTGCAAATGTGAACTGTGATAATCGATGAATTAGGAAAAACCCAGTCCTTCTATCCATTCCACCTCCCACTGTGGGGACCGAGTGTTATACAAGGTGGAAGTTTCTTTATGTCCTCCAGTGTCTACTGGCTTTTAAAGCTTGTTTTCAGCCTAGCCAGTGCATCCTATTTCCTGAATGCTTCATGAGGCTGCCTGCCTGGGATGCAGGGTCCTGTGATGGTGTAAATTCAGTGACTGTAGGGCTGGGTAAGCTAGAGCTGGAAGGGACCTTGGAGGTTCTCGATAGTAATCCAGCCCTCTCATAGAGCCGAGAGAACTGAGGACCAGAGAACGGGAGAGGTGGAGTCCAGGTCACACTGCCAGTAAGTGGTGGAGCCAAGGTTTGAACCTTGGACTCCTCACTGCATCCAGAGCTTTCTCTGCTCTCCTGCAGTCGTCCTGAGGTGCATTATATGATGGCATTAACCCTTCCCTGGCTAGGAGGAGGGGGAATTAAGGTTGTTCTTTAATCATTTTGTCAACTGAGGGGTCTTTGATCAGCCTGCCCCCTCCCTGTCCTGCCTGCTTGGTCCCAAACCTCCATCTGTCCAGATAGTCATTGACTGGCCATCCATCATTCCTCCACTGCCTTCCCATCCTGCTTCTCAAGTCCATCCGTGGCTTGGTTGACTGCCAAAGCACTGACCTGCTGGGATGCTTGTGCTCCCTGCTTGACACACTTGACCATGACAGCCGAGTCCCAAGAGGGCTTTCCCTCCCACCAGAGCTCCTCATCCCAGGCAGGAAACTGTTTCTGGCTAGCTTTTCTGATCTAGATGTGACTTCTTCCAACACACACACACACACACACACACACACACACACACACACACACACACACACACTTTTTGTCAATCCCAATCTTTCTCTCTCTCTCTCTCTCTCTCTCTCTCTCTCTCTCTCTCTCTCTCTCTCTCTCTCCTCTCTCTCCCTCTCTCTGTCTCATATCCACACACATACACACACAAACACACTTTTCTCCATCCCAATCTTTCTCTCCTCTCTCTCTCTCTCTCTCTCTCTCTCTCTCTCTCTCTCTCTCTCTCTCTCTCTCTCTCTCTCTCTCCCTCTCTCTGTCTCATATCCACACACATACACACACAAACACACTTTTTTCCATCCCAATCTTTCTCTCCTCTCTCTCTCTCTCTCTCTCTCTCTCTCACACACACACACACACACACCACACACACACACACACACACACACGCTTGATGAATCTCTTACTGAGTGCCAAGCTACCATTGGGTACACCTCGATCTACCAGTTTTTCCTCCTGTAACAGAACAAGTCATAGCCTAGGGGTGGAGACAGGAACCAGGATTATCCTGGTGATTTCACTGCCATCAGGCATTCCCAGATGAGGAGACTCCCTCTTCCAATGCGGGTCAGCACATTCTCTGCAGCTTATTGCTCTAGAGTTGCCTAGAGCACTGAGAGATTACATAGTTACACAATCCTTATATCTCATAGGCAAGATCTGAACCCAGGTCTTCCTGGCAAAGCCAGATCTCTAACCATTATAACAAGCTATCTCTGACAATGATAATTAGTGACAATGATGGCTCCCATTTCCAAAACACTTTTGAAATTCATTCCTCATGACCACCCCTTGAGGTAGGTCATGCAAGCATTATTATCCCCATATTACAGATGAGGAACCTGAGGCTGAGAGGTGCAATTACTTGGCCAGGGTCATGCAGCCCAAGTCGGGATTTGAAGTCAGATTTCCTAGCCTTCAGTCTGACATTCTTTCCTTACACCCCAATGCGAGTGGCCTGAGGAGTTCGTGGCCAGCAGGCTGAGGAGTGTGCCTTCCCCCTCCTCATACAGACATGAGCTTGTTTGAACACAGAACCCAGCCTGCCCCTGCAGCTGCCTTGTCTCTTTTGTCGTGGCTGGGGATGGGGCATGCCCCAGGGGTCAGCGTGCCATCGAGATTGATTTCTCCATTTGTCTCTCTCTTTTCTCTCCATCCTCCTTCCTCGCCTCCTGTGTGTCCTCCCTCCATCTTCCCTTCACCCTGTTTTACATTGTGGCTGGTGTAACTGACCCCAGGGACTCAAGGGCCAACCAGGAGAGAAGGTGAGTCGGTTCTTTCCTGATTGTACTCCTTCCCCTCTTCTGGGCCCTTCTGCCCTCCCACGGCCCCAAGGACTCTTGGGAAAGACTAAGGAAAAAATTCACACGAAAGACCTTAGAGGCCACCCAGTCCAGCCCCCCCATTTTACAGAGAGTGAAACTGAGGCCCAGACAGGGAAACAACTTATGGAAGATTATAGAAGTAGAACACATCAGAGACAGGATTTGATCCTGAGTCTCCTGGGTCCTATGACCTACAAGCTGCAAGGAAGCAGATTTGATTTTAGGGTATTGGGAATCAGAGCTCTCCAAAAGCAGAATGAACTATAGATAAGTCACTACCATTGACTAAGGTCTTCAGCAAGGCTTGAATGGTCCCCGTAGTGGGGGAGGAACGGGGGGGGGGGTGGCATAGAGGGGATTCCCGATCTCCTACCAGTTGGACCCTGGAGGCTGTTTGTAGTTCTGAGGCTGATTCAGTGACTCCAAATCCCTCATTCCTTCATGGTACAGTTTATTGCCTTGAAACTTTGTATGAGCCAGACCATCACATCTGCTCTCTCTGTGCCCTCTGACCCCAGCAGTCAGGCCAAATCATTCCACCCCCCTCCGATCTCCCAGCCTGGTTGTTTTGATTTCATTCATCCCACTACTAATATTGTTCTCCAGACTGGGTCAGGAAACGAGGGCTGGTCTTTCAGGCTCTTGGGATAACACTAGCTTCCTCCTCCTTCTCCTACCCACCCCCTTTCTCCCCTTTCCCATATATACCACAACTGGCCATGTGGGCACTCGGGGCACAGATCTCTCACTGCCAAACCCACCTCATTGGATTCCTTGGACAAGGCAGATACTTTGTTCCCAGAGCAAGGAGGGCTGGGGCCTCTGCTCCTGTGCCCCCCCCCTTTTTGTGCATCCAGGCCATCATTTCCCTGGGGGGAGGGATGGTCTTTTTGATGATATTGAGACTAAGAAATCCAGAGCCTTCAGTTCACTCTCTTAAGAGATAAGCTTTCCTTGGGGAAATGGACAGTGATTTAGACACTGAGAAACAAAAATGACCACATTGAAGTAGAAAGATGACTTCTAGAGACAAACTTCTTAAAGCCCTATGATCTTTTTAAAAAATTGATTCTTTTCCCACATCCTGCATCTTCTCCTCCCAGCTCTGGTCTCTTCTCTGTCTCTAGGCTCCCTCATGGAGAGCAGAACAGGGAGACACAGAATTTGGATATTTTGTAGGTCACCATTTAGTGTGGGTCAGAAAGCATCAGCTAGGATGACCTCGAACATCCCTCTTCTACGGCCTTTGCTAAATCCTGTCTGCCCTGGTGCTTCTCCCTTCCCCTTTTCAGCCCTACTCTTGTTACTGGCTCCAATCCAGCTTAGCCCCAGGATATGGGTTTGGAACTGTTCTAGACCACCTTGGACCTAAGCACCCAATAGTCCACACACTCCAAGAGTGGGCTCTAAACTCACTTTATACTTAAGCACTATGGAGGGAGCCCCAGGCAGTCTGGTATGGCAGAAAGAGCCCTGGCTTTGGCTCCTTCCTATTCTTGCAAGCATGGACAAAGTCACATAATCTATTTGGGCCTCAGTTTCCTCACTTATAAAAATGAAGGGGTTGGGCTGTCTCTCCCAGCTCTCCATCTGTGGTCCCATGATCTCTAAGGTCTCCTCCAGCTCTAAATCCTGTGATATTATGAGTAACCCAGATTCCCCAAGAGCAAGTACAGAAAGTTGAGAACCCCCCTAACCCCGCATTCACACCAGGACTGGACCAGATCTGAACTGGCTTGTGAGGAACTGCAGAGAGGAAGGCAGTGAAGTCCATTTTTCCTTATTCATTATCCCCAGTATTTTCATGGGGAGAAAGCCATCACCTCAGACTATAGTGCCCCTCAGTCTGAGATCCTGTAAAATGGGTTGGCTCAGCCAGCTATGCTCTGTGCTTTGGAATCCTCAGCTAGGATGATCTTTAAGAGGTTTGTTGCATGGAAATGAGTGTCATCATTTAGGAGATTGCTCAAAGAATCAGTCCCTCAAGGGTCCAGAATTTGTGAAACGTGGACCTTAGGGGTCATCTAATCTAGCACCCTCATTTTATAGATGACTGATTAACAGACTGTCAATGTACTGCCCCTGCTGCCCACCCCCCACCACACACACTTGCATGATGAAGAAACAAGAAAAGAAAATCCAGGCTTTGTTGGGATCAGATTGTTTTCAGTGTGCCCATTTTGCCCTCAAGCAAGCAAGCATTTATTAAGTGCTTACTGCGTGCCAGGCACTGTGCTAGTTTCTGGGAACACAAAGGCCAAAATGAAGACTACCTGCCCCAAGAAGGTTACAGAAGCAGGACAAGAGCAGGGCTTGCAAGATCCCTGCACCTGTCCTTCCAGGGAGCTGGCCAGGCCTATTCTGGGGTTGGTCCCATAATACCTTACCAGGCTCACAATGCCTCTGCACATCATTTTATTGAATCTGAGCTCAGTTGAAAGAAGGAGCACTAGGTCTAGAGTCACGTGGCCTGGCCTCAAGAGCTGCCTCGTATACCACCGATGCGACCTTAGGCAAGTCACTGTATGATAGGAATATTGAACTAGGTGGCCTCTGGTGGAGGTCCCTTCCAGCCCTAGCCTTATGATCCTTTGGGTGGAGTGGACTTTCTGAGAAGTACTGACAACACTCCTCGATCTAGAAAAATTGGCCAGGGCTGCCTAGATGTGGTCCATGGGATCTCTCGATGTTTGGTTCTGCAGGTATCCCAGGAAGCATATTTTAATGCTGCCCACCTGTTGTTTCATCATCTCCTTTTGGGGGGTTAGTTTTCTTGACCCCAAAATACTAAAAAAGTAGGCACCTGGGATCTCATCTCTTAGCTCATTTGAGGGAATTTCTCAGCTGTCACCTCCCACTTCTTTCAATGTTCAGGGCTCTGTGCTTTTGTTAGCATGTATATTTGTCTCCCTATATACATCAGAGTCTTTTTAGGAAATGGTGGTTGGTCTTCCAATAAGGCCTGGTAAGCGCTGTGCTTAATTAACGCTTCTTGATTGGTGAGTCTCTTTGAAGGGAATGAGGTTGGTCTTCCAGCAACAGACTGAGTCATTCTTCACATCCATACTTGAAACCTTTTAGCTTTAGTGAGACCCAAGGTCACCTACATACCCACCACAGTGAAACATTGGGGTAGGTTTTAGTGGAAACGTGCCTCAAACTAAGCCCCAAAGGCACTGAGCCATAAGAGATCTCCTTGAAGCTTCACCCATGACCTTGTGAAGGCTGCCTTCTAACCTTGAAGTCCTCAAGGGATGGCTTCACCTCTGAGTCATGGAGCTTGCATATCTGGAGATAGAACCAAGTTGGCTCTTATTCATAGTAGAAGTTATAGCAGAGTTAGGGTGGGGCTGCACTTTGTGGGGTCTTGAGAAAGCATCATGTCAGGAGATACCCCAGTATAGTGGAAAAAGCCCTGGCTTTGCATTCAGAGGACCTGGATTCAAATCTCATCTCTGATATTTATTACCTGTATGACCTTGGACAAGTCCCTTGATCTCTATGGACCTCAGTTTCTTCATCTGTAAAATGAAGGTATTGAACTAGATGACCTCCCAGCTCTAGACTCTTGAGGTAGGCCACAGTGATAAAATTGCTGGGGCAGACACCAGAGCTCATGGGTACCTTGGCCTTCCCATTATTCCTTTCTCTTATCGAATCACTGGGACCCATATCCTTTCTCTGCTCTGGCTCCAGGCTCATGGTTCTTGTCACTTTCCCTGGGTTTAATCTTGGTTAGGGATCTTCTTACCTCTCATGCCTCACTTACCCATTGTTTCTTCTGCTCTTCCTCTCTTCCTTTCTTTCTATGCCCCTTTTTCCTCTTTTCTCGCCCTCTCTCTATTTCTCCAACATTCCTTTCTGGCATTTCTCTTTGTCTTTCCATCTCATCACTTTCCTTCTTCTCTTCCCTCACTTTCCAGTCCTCTTCCTTTTCTCCTATCTGTTTTTGTCCCTTTCTCTATCAATTCTCCCTCTTTTTCCCTGTTTCTCTTTTCTCTTCTTTCTTTCTCTATCATTCTTTCAATCTTCTCTGTGAACCTTCCTTACTATCTCTTTATTTTCTGTCTCTGTCTCTATGTCTCTGTTTTTCTTTCTTGTTGTCTCTATCTCTGTCTCTTTCTCTCTCCCCATCTTTCCCTCTGCCTCTCTTCGTTTCTTTCTCTTCATGCCTTCACAGGGAGCCCCAGGAGATGCTGGAATGTCTATTATTGGTCCTCGTGGTCCCCCGGTAAGTTGCTTCCTCTTCTCTTTTTCAATTCTTTTTTTTTTGGCTAGGCAATGGGGTTAAGTGACTTGCCCAGGGTCACACAGCTAGTAAGTGTTATGTGTCTGAGGCCAGATTTGAACTCAAGTCCTCCTGACTTCAGGGCCAGTGCTCTATCCACTGCACCACCTAGCTGCTCCTTTCCTCTTCTCTTTTGGAATGTGGTTAGGGCTGTGGGTGAGCTACTGAATAAGACTTGGGGAGAGGGGGGCAGAAGGGAGAGCTCAGTCGCCGAGCTCCCTCTGGGCAGGGCAGCCACAACATGTGATGTGGCTTAGTAGATGGGGCCAGATTGATGTTGTTGTCCAAAAAATGGGTCCTGACTAAATATAACCAAATTATAGCCTCGTGCAAGGGTTTGGGAGGCTTTGCCAGGCTGGGCCCTTCAGTCACAGAGCTGCTGTTAGTGGCAAGAAGGAAGAAGGCACAGCCTTCTATGGCAGGCTGAACTCCAACCTCGCCGTGGGTCTACCCCGGGCTCTGACGCACCAGAAGGTATTCAACCTTTCAGGAGCCATGGCCCATGGGGCTGGCTCCCAGAGCACACAGTTCAGGCCTAAATCTAAGCAGTCTCCTTTGTAAGGTATGCATCTGCCCCCTACTCTGGGTCTGGTTTAGGATGGCCTCTGCTCCGTAACAAGGCAAGAGGCTTCCATCCTGATCCTCAGAATGAGGTTTCTTTAGGAACAGAAGCAAAGGCAGAAACTTCCTGCTAGGCTCAGCCACAGTATTAAAACAGCAGGATTTCCCAACACCTCCTCACTCCAGCACCTTCTCGCTTAATCATTTCCTATTCATCCTGTATATGCTTGCTTTGTATGTATTTGTGTGCATGGCGTCTCTCCCATTAGGTTGTAAGCTCCTTGAGGGCAGGGGCTGTCTTTTGCCTCTTTTTGAATCCCCAAGTGCTTCGCACAGGGCCTGGCACATAGGAGGCACTTTATAAACATTTATTGGCTGAATAAATGAATGTTACAGATTGGTGTTCACGAACCAAGCTGTAACCATGGGTTTTACATAGATTTGGAAGAGTCCATGGAATATAGAACATAGAATGCCACTGTTCCTAAGAATCTGTGAACATGGAATGTTCAGTCTGGAAACAGGGGTTTACTGTAAACAGCTCAAACCAGCTCATGAAACATGGTTGTTAAATTTTCAGCATGAGTATTTATGCCTTGGAAACTGGCAAAAACTACAAAGCCTCAGTTTCCTTATCTGCACAATGGGGATAATAATAGCACCTACCTCCCAGTATTATTGAGAGGATAAAGTGAGATATTTGTAAAGCACTTTGCAAACCTTAAGGTGTCACATAAATGCTAGTTGTTATTACACAGAAGGCTTCCAGATAAGGTAGTAGCTAGATTCTAGTCTAGTCTAGTCAGTACTGTACTGGTCTTAGAGTCAAGAAGATTTGAGTTCATTCTGCCCCCAAACACTAGTTAGCTGTGTGACCCTGGACAATCACTTGATTTCTCTGTGCCTCAGTTTCCTCATCTGTAAAATGGAGATAGCTATTTTAAAGATCAAAGAAGATAATGTATATGAAGTGCTTTGAAAACCTTAAAGAACTGTGTAAAGTATAATAGTAATTATTATTATTAGCAGTAGCACAGCTGGGATTCTAACCTAGGACTTGCAATATTCTTTTCTCTATACCATACTGATAATTTTACCTGGCCATGATGAAAATTAGCTTCTGCATATGCCATGTGTAACATTTCTCACTTGGCCCCCTAGGAAGGCTCTTCCTCTTAAGAATCTTCCAGTTGCTTGGCTTCTCAAGGAGGATGGGTAGAGAAGGAGGAAGGGATAAAATTTGGAAACCAAAGTTTTAAAAAACAAATGTTAAAAAATTTTTCACACGTAACTGGGAAATAAGATATACAGGCAATGGGGTATAGAAATCTACCCTGCCCTATAGGAAAATAGAAGGGGAAAGGGATAAGAGAAGGGAGGGCAAACTAGGGGAAGGGGTATTCAGAGTGCACACCATCTTGGGGTGGGGGAGGGACGAGATGGGGAGAAAATTTGGAACTCAAAATCTTGTGGAAGTGAATGTTGAAAACTAAAAATAAATAAATTAATAATAATAATAAAGAATCTTTCCTCCTCCTGCTCCCTAAGCAGCATTTGTCACGGGAAGAGGATTCATTATAAGTCTTATGCCCAGCCTAGCACCAGTGGCCTCCTGTCTCTGGCCCAAACCTGCCTGTCTCATGATCATTTTACAGAGGAAGAAACTGAGGCCAGGAGAGAGGCGGGGGCTTGCCCAAAGATAAGATTAAAAGCATCCAAGCCAGGAAATGAACTCAGGTCCCCCAATTCCAAATTCAGTATTCTTTCCTCTCTTCTATGGCTGCCTCTCATTATCACTTCCATTAAGTCAATTCCAACAGGAGGGCAAAAAGGTCCCTTCTCATCTTCAGACTTCCTCTTAGAATGTGGACCCCAGAGGGCAGCAACCTTGGCCTAGAGATGATGGCTAGGTGACAAAGGGGGTTGTTTTTGTCTGTGTGCATGCGCATGTGTGTGAAGACAAAGGGCACCTTTGTTTGCCATTAGAGGGTTAAGGTCAAGTGGGGCAGGACCCTGCAGCCTGGGTCTGGAGGGGAAACAGGTGGTTTTTCACTTAGCTGTGAGAAGCCCTGAATTAAGTGCTGCTAATAAGAATCAGCTTTAAGAGTTCCTGGGGCCAACCTGTCCCAGACTCTGGAGAGACTGATGAATGGTTGGACCCAAAGGGGAAACAGGCCTAGGTCCTTGAGAAGACAATGGCTTACATTCTAGCAGCAGGCAGTACTTGGGGGTGGGGTGGGGTTAATGGATTTATGCTAAACCACTGAAGTGAGTGTTGCTGGAGCCTGCAGCTAAGCCTGTCAGTAGCACCTCAGGAAGTTAGGGGAAAGCTCTCCTGTCAACTGAATCCATCCACTACTCGGGCACTCCATTGTCCCTAAGACAACCAAGAGGGGGATCAAGCTTTCCACACCTCCTACGGGGGGGATGGTGTGATGGCAGGAGAGAATTTCAAGCAATGGACACAGGTTTGAATCTCGCCTCTGCTCCGAGGAGGCTACACTTGATGGAGACCAAAGTGACAAGCCATCTTGAAATGCTGTGTCCTTCCCAGCCATAAGATGTGCTTGCCGTGTACATCCTCCACTGGGATGGTGAGATAATGACCCAGCTGGATACCTTATTACACCTCTGGCTGTTGAGGATGAAGTCACAAAATGTCAACTCTAAGAGGAAGCCCAGAAAGCACTTAGTCCAGTCCTTCCATGAGCAGAATTCTCCTCTATAATCACCTTGACAAGTGGCCATCAGGTCTTCACGTGAAGAGCTCTAGTGATGGGAAACTCACCTTCCAAGGCAGCTCCCTCCACTTTGGAATAGCATTGGATGTTAGGAAGTGTTTCCTTCAATTGAGCTGAAATTGATTTTCTGAGGCTTCTATCTGTCACTCCCGGTTCTACACTCTGGAGTCAAAAAGAACAAGATGAATGTCTTCCGTATCACAGTCCTTTGGCTACTTGAAGGCAGCTGTGGTGTTCCAGCTAAACCTTTTCTCCAGGCTAAACAATCCCCATTTGCTTCAATCCAACTCTTGAATAGCATGTTTCCATTCTCTTGTCATCCTGGCCACCTTCTTCACCTGCTCAGATTTATCTTTTAGCAAAAAGGAACACATTCCCATTCTCCCATTGGATAGAAAAGATTCAGAGCAGGGAAGAGTTAGCATGAGCTTGGCCATTCGTAGTAGACGAGATGGCCACTGGTTCCCTTCCAACTCTCAGTTCCTGTGATTCTGAGTTGCTGACCACTAGCACCTAATGGGGGTGGGATCATTTGAAGACCAATGATTGAAACCAATGACTAGGGTTCAAGGGAGGAATATTCCGTGGAAAGGAGGCACCAGCAATCAGAGAGTCAATCAACAAGCATTCATTAAGCTCCTATTATATGTCTGACTCTATGCTAGGCAATGAGTACCCAAGTACAATAAATGAAACCATCCCTACTAGTGCAGAGCTTCCATTCTAATGAAGTAAAATACATCAGAAGTCAAGCTTAGTCAAACCAAGGTGTAACAGAATTCAGCCTCTGAACTTCTATTATTAGCCATATGCCCTTGGGCATGTCAATCACCTCTCTGAGATGGGGCCAGATGAGAGGGATCCCTGAGCAGGCATGTTTCATAGGCTTCAATCTAGAGGTCAAGAAAAAGCAAAGGATCATGGGGTCATGAATTTAGAGCTGGAAGGGGCCTTTGAAGTCATCTGGTCCAATCCCTCCTCATTTGACAGATGAGGAAACTGAGGCCTAGAAAGGGGAGGTAACTCACCCAAGATCACACGGGCGAATCATGGCAGAGCCAGAATTTAAACCAAGGGCATCTGCCTCCAAGCCCAGAATTCTTTCCACTAAGATAAGTAGATTGATGAGGTCTTCCTCTTCAGAACTGTCATTCTCACCTTTCTGTCTTCGGCCAACATGGGTAAGGACAGGGCCATTTTGGGATGAGGGCCCTGTTTGGACATGACTGCAACTTTGTAGCTTTTTTGATGTCCCAAGTACACCTACTCAATGGGCCTCTTCCAAGTGATTTGGAATTCATTGGCTTCTCTGTCACCCAGGCCTCAAGGGAGAAATGAGATTCCTGTGAACTTGGGGGGGGGGTTGTTTATGTGTGTGTGTGTGTGTGTGTGTGTGTGTGTGTGTGTGTGTGTGTGTATGGCAATTGGGGTTAAGTGATTTGACCAGGGTCACACAGATAGTAAGTGTCAAGCATCTGAGGCCAAATTTGAACTCAGATCCTCCTGACTCCAAGGCCAGAGCTCTATCCACTGCACCACCTACATGCCCCATGTGAAATCTTCAAAGGTTCATCATGGGTCTCCCTGAGGATAAGGAGTCCAGGGCTGGATAACCAGAAGGAGGCCATAGAGGGAGCCATG